TAATGCTTCACCTCCATTAAGATTTTATTTAATATTGTGTTAATCTCTATTCGGTCATTTTATTAGATTTATGTTTGACAGGTGCTTACTACTATCTTCGATTTCATTCCAGCCTTGTTTTAGGGAAGAAAAGATGTATAACTGTCATTATAATTGGTGTCTTTTTTATCAACTATTAAGTTAATTCATATATTTCTATTTTATTCTAGATTTTTTTGTTTAAGCCTTTCGGAATAAATTATTTGTATTCGTTAGTTTTGATCTCGTAATTATGGCCCGAATCTAATCCTCAAGCCTACTCGTTTTATGACCTAGGGTCAGAGCAGATTTTTACACTAGCTTTGAATCCTTTGGAAATTAAATCTCCAAATATCCTTATCTTTTTTGTTCTAATCTATTATAAAAACGTTTATGACTATCTTCAAGACACTTAGTTGTCAATAATCGGCATGCCCGACTAGGCTTAAGCACCTGTATAGCATTTAATGAATGTTTCATTTTCTCAGGTTTGTTTTATAGCCTGAATATGAATATAAATATATGCACATGCTTTTATGTACATACTTCACTTGAATTAATTTCCCATTAGATACCAACCCGACTTTGACTATCTTCCGCTTCTTTTGGCTCGGCTCATCACTGAAGTAAATTGGAATGAGGAGCTACCATGTCTTCGAGGAGTATCTAGAGTGCTTGCTGATTTTTATGCTATCCAGCCTAGACTGACGTCATTTCTGACTAAGAATAAACGTGGCAACGTCACTGAAGCTAATGACAATTGTCAACGTAAAAGCCTTGATCAGCCTGGTCACAAGGATGATTGCGAAAATCGCCTTGAAGATATCGATGAAGTCAGTAGTGAGGAGGAACCAATTCTAGAGGTTAGTGGTGAACCATCGGCCAAGTTGATGAAAACTGAGCCCAATCTTGAGCAAGATCTGGTTTCTGTTCAATCAGATGAACTGGACAATGAAAACTCGCCTAAATGTAGGGCAGAAACAAAACAGGACTCTTTAAAAACGACGAACTTTCGATGGACCATCGAAAATGTTATCCTTCCAACCTTGAAAGCCTCACTATGGCCAACCAAAAAGCTGCTTTTCGGTGAATCACAAATTGATGTCACTGAGGCTGCCGCTTTCTCCGATCAAACGTCATTGCAAAGCTCTCTCCCATCAATTTATCGTTTGACTTCACTAAATGACCTTTATAAAGTCTTTGAGCGCTGTTAGAGTTCTTTTGGAACCTTTGTCTTTAACGGTATTTTGATAGATAATTCGACATTTTAGTTTTCTTCTGTTTTTGCAACAGCAAGCTTGACAGCTGTCGCATTTCAGCGCTTGGCGCTTTTATATATCTTTCTAAGAAAGGACATGAGATATTTAAAGTGAAAGCGTTTTTGCCATTGTTGTGTTACTTGTTTAAGAAAAATATATAAATATTTCGTTAAATGACATTTATTTTATTCATTACAAAAATAGGCTCAACAT